CTCTTGCCGCTCGGGCATACCTCACAATCACTCTTGCCTTCCAGTCACTCAGCACTCGGCACTCGCACTCAGTAGGTACCTGCGCTCACTAGGGGTGTGTACAGACTCCGGAGGGGCTCCTTCAGCCCAAGCACTATAATCTGCACGGACAACTCACGTGTGATAATAATAAAGTATGTTGCAGGCGGGCAGCCTCGATCCACATTCATCCTCACAAATCAGGCCATCGGCCTCACTCAGTCATAAAGTATGTGGTAGGCGGGCAGCCTCGATCCACACTCATCCTCACAAATCAAGCCACTCGGGCATTTCAGTAAAATAGGGCATTCGGCCCAAAATATTTATATGCATCAAAATAGAGTCATAAAACTGAGTTATACGGTAAACAAGTATAAACATGACTGAGTATAGATTTTCAATCAAAAACAGTGAGAGGATGGTAAGAAACAGCCCCTAAGGGTCCAAACAGCATTGGTGCAAGACCCAAACATGGCATTCAGCCCAATTTACAGAAAATCTTTCTAAAACATATAAGTATCAATGGTTTCAACAAAGTATGCAACTTTACAGTTGCTACGGGGCGGACCAAGTCACGAATCCCCAACAGTGCACACCCACACGCCCCTCACCTAGCATGTGCGTCACTAAAAATAGTAGAATGATACAAAATCCGGGGTTTCATACCCTCAGGACTACATTTACAATCGTTACTTACCTCAAAACGTGAAACTTTTTACTCTGCTATGCCTTTTCCTTGTGAATTGGTCTCCAAACGCCTCGAATCTGGTCATAAATAATTCGCTTCAGTCAATAAAATTTATTGGAATTAATTCTACAAGATAATAATGATTTTTCATAAAAATCCGAAAATTAGCTCAAAAATCCACGTCTCAGAACTCGACAAAAGTTACAAAATCCGAAAACCCATTCAACCACGAGTTTACCCATACCAATTTTACCAAAATCCGACATCAACTCGACCCTCAAATCTACAAATCTTATTTCTTAATTTCTAAGTTCCAATCTCCGATTTACACCTCAAAATCATGTAATCTAGTCGGATTATTCGATGATAATTCAATATTATGGAGTAGAAATAATCACAAGGGACTTATCTCAAGTTTTCCTTGAAAATATATCAAAAATCGTCTCTCTTCAAGCTCCAATTTGTCAAAAATGTCAAATGGGACGAAGTCCCTGTTTTTATAATTCTGCCTAGACATCCTCGGTTCTGCCTCGATCTTGGCCTTCGATCTTGGCCTTCGATCGAGGTCCTCGATCCTGGCCCTCGATCTTGGTTCTCGATCCTGGCCCTCGATTATGACTTCGACCCGGCTTTCGACCGTGACCCTCGACCTTGGGCTCGATCATGCCTTCGATCGTGGCCCTCGACTCTGGGCTCGATCATGGCTTCGATCATGGCCCTCGACCCTGAGCTCGATCTGGGCTTCGGTCTTGGCCCTCGACCCTGAGCTCAATCTGGGCTCACATCTGGGCTTGATTTCTGGGCAGAAGTAATTTCCAACAGAAGAAAATTGTAGCAGTTGTTCTAGTTCAATTTTTGATCCGTTAACCATCCGAAACTCACCCGAGGCCCTCGGGACCTCAACCAAATATACCAACAAGTCCTAAAACATCATACGAACTTAGTTGAATCCTCAAATCACCTCAAACAACCCTCAAACCATAAATTACACCCCAATTCAAACCTAATGAACTTTGAAATTTCTAATTTCTACAAACAACTCCAGAACCTATCAAATCACATCCGATTGACCTCAAATTTTGCACACAAGTCCCAAATAACATAACAGAGGTATTCTAATTTTCAGAATCAGATTCCGACCCCGATATCAAAAAGTCAACCCCCCCGTCAAACTTCTCAAAAATAAAACTTTCGGCATTTCAAGCCTAATTCCTCTACGGATTTTCAAATAATATTTCGGACACGCTCCTAAGCCAAAAATCACCATACGAAGCTATTGGAATCATCAAAATTCAAATCCGAGGCCGTTTACACATAGGTCCATATCCGGTTCACTTTTCTAACTCAATTTTTCAGTTATAAGACTAAGTGTCTCATTTCACTCCGAGTTCCTTCCGGACTCGAACCCACTAACCCGATATAATATAATATAGCTGAAAACACAAAAAGAAGTAGGAATGGAGAAAACGGGGTTATAACTCTCGAAACGACCGGCCGGGTCGTTACAACTCTTCTCCCGTCTCCTAGCACAGGCGCCAAAGAGAAGAGATTGTCCTCCACACGGAAGTACTTACTTATGCCAAGCACACTTGGTAGCAGAGGCAGAACTCCACGATGACGGATTCTAGCTCTCCACTCAAAGAGAACGCTCCCAAAGTGAAGGGGTACGTGTAAAAATACTTAAAACCCTTTTTGGGTAAGGTTATTCGCTCCGCCAGATCGGGAGCGATAATGTCCAAATCTGGACAGTGGCAGTCGTCTTTCATATCGGGGATACTGGAAGGACGTATTTAAGAAGGGTATACGCTAGCAGCCCACGTACGAGGGTGGGCAGAAGGATACTTTTCTTCAAAATCTTTGGTAGTGACTAGACTCTTTGGGATGATGGTGCTCACCGTAGGCGGAGGAGCATCATCAGCTTTACCTTCGTTCTTTGAAGAACTAGGGTTTCTGGAAAAAGAGGTCATTTTTTATCAGAAGGAAGGTTTTCTCTCAAAGAAAAAAGTTCAAGAAAGGTTAAAGATGAAGTAAGAGTTGAGTAAAGAAAGTTTGAGAAAATTTAGAGTGATATAAAGCGTAAATGAAGGAAGTTGATGCGTATAAATAAATGTATAGATGGCTAAAACTGTGGCCATAATTACCTCGATAACCGGCAAAAGTAATGCTAAATCATGAGATGACGCGTGTCCGGGGCATTAAATACGGAGAGATGTACGTCTAGTCAACCGTCAGAAACATTTTCAAAGGGGGTGACACAAAGTTATGCCACCGGAAAGCAAGGGTGCTATCTTTATAGGGTAAAATATGTTTATATTAAATAATCGCATGAAGAAGTGACACGTGAAGCCTAAGGCAGAAGATAGTTGAACCCGAAAATAACAATTTTGTCTGTTACCAGAGAGAATGATACTTATAAAGATCAAATAAATGCCTGCTACCATGTAGCATTTAATGAGGAATATTCTGCAAAATTAAGTACAGAGCACGTTACAAGGAATATGGCGTTCACTGTCTGCTGTTACACATTCTTCAATGCCCCTCATAATTGATATTAAAGAAGCGCTTGATCCTAGGACCTTGTTCCCTAGGTGCAGCTATAAATAGTGAGTTCTATTTATCATTGTAGAGGATACGAATTTTCTAGCAAACATACGCTACACTCTATTCAAAGCTCAATATAATTTTATCTTCTTGTTTACTAATATCATTGTTATTGTCTCCAGAAGCTCTACTCCCGGAATTATTATTTTTGCTATTTTATCTCTATCTCAAAGCTAAGTATTACATTTTTGTCAAATTCATCCATTATTGTAGAATCAAATTGATTTACTTGCCTATAAACCACGTATAAATTTAACTGTACTATTTTATGGGTAAATAACTATCTTTTATAGCTAAAATATCTAGAAAAATAGTTTCAAAAAATCGTCCTTAGAGAGAAAAACTTTTTGATGCTTCAAATATTAACATCATTTTTATTGGGCCTGGACAGTTTCAAATTGGGATTTTGGCATGGTGTGACAACCTACCTACATAATTAGCACGAAAAAATCCTAGTTATAGATATTGGCACCAAGTAGCTAATAAATATATATCACAATAATAATGTGTATATCACAACTTTTTTTCTTCTTTGTGTATATCAACATCTATATTAAAATTTTATTTTTCTTCTTTCTATATCTAATGAAATTATATATATATATATTATTTATTATTGCCTCTATATAAATGTATATTATAATAAAAATAATTATATTATTTGTATATCATAGTGTATAACACATCGAATATATCACAACTTCTTTTTGTGTGTATATCAACATGTATATTAAAATTTTATTTTTCTTCTTTGTATATCTATATGATATTATATATATAGTTATTTAATATTTATTATTGCCTCTATATCAATGTATATTTCAATAAAAATAATTATATTATTTGTATATTGTAGTGTATAATACATCGAATATGTGTATACCAAAATGGATATCATAAGTTTATTTTCCTTCTTTGTGTATATCAAAAATTTATTTTCTTTCTTTAGATATCAAAATTTTTTCTACTCACATAATTATATTTATTAATTATATATTTTAGAACTTGCTCTAAACCTATTATATCAAAAATTTATTTTTCTTCTTTGATTAATAACAAAATTGAAGTAAGTTTATTCAGAATGAATTTCGCCTCTTAAAATCAATTGGACGATTTGATTCCATTTTAATCTTATGTTGCCAAACCTAACAATGTATATCACGATATACAATATGATATATATACAGGTATACATGGTGATATACATAGAAGCACACCACCTCAAATACATATATTTTCTTTTTTTACAATAAAAAAAAAAGAGAAGAAGAAGAAAATTGAATTCTGCCAATGAGATATAAATCAAATCGAACAAAGCAACAAGTGGATGAAGGCAGGAAGGAAACTATATCAATTCATGAAAGCGATCGCCTTTAGGTTTGTACGAAATCGCTGTCGTGATGAGCAAACCATAACTTCATAAACATTATGAAAGAGCACATGCCTTTCTAATTCCGGATTGAAGAAGAAACAACACATTGAAGAAGAAAAAGAAAAGAAAAAATTGAAGAAAAAATTGGTGACGAAATATGGAGAGAGAAGAAAAATTACTGGGAGAGAGAATAAATAAGGAATTTGGGTTTTTTAGAATTTGCTATATAATGCCATATTTTTGGGCTACCTTTGTCAAACCTAATATAATGCAAAAACTTTGCCAATACTCTTTATGCGTTGTCATACCATGTCATTTTCCTTTTCAAAAATTAGATCATTTTGAGCCTACCCAACAATACATTATGACGTCGCACTATAAGCCAACTTTAGGCTCGGCCCATTTTTTGACTACACTAGAAAGGGGTAAAATTAGCATGGGTGGTCATTTTTCAGACCTGTAATTAAAAATAGTCAAAATCAAATGTGTAAAAATGATTAATTTTTAACAGGAAGATAAAATCTAGATAAAAATATACTTAAATAAAACATGAAAAATTTATCCTAAAGTTCAAACTTATAAAAGTGAAAACTCTGGGCTATCCCATTCGTGCAAATCTCCTACACATTTAGGGCTAAGATCACAAATATAAACCAAACTAACACGACTTTACCCGTTTAGAATCCTACATATTAAATAATTACAATAACAATCTATTGAAGCTTTAAAGATGCTGAAAACGCCCAAATTTAAATAGTCAAACAGGTCCCTAACGCAGCTACCTATTAAAGCTGAAATACATTTACAGTAGCCATAATTTAGTCAGAGCCCTAACCGACTTTTGACCAAACCCACTTTAAATCATCTTTAAATGAACTCAAACTTCAGATTCTAATTCTTACGAGCATTTGCAACAAGTTTTAATACGATACACATTCGAATCTAAAGTTCAAGCAATTATATTAAGCTTTCATTTCCCAAACCCAAGCTTCAAAGCTTCTTCAATGATGCACCAAGTTTATTTTTTTTCAGTTATCAACCACCAAATTCGAACTATAACTATGATTATAGCTTTTCAATAGTGTAACACCCGGACTGATTACTTTGAGCATTTGCATTTCATTCTGTGATTTAATGTCTTAAGTAGCTTCATATGGCGTGCTATGATTTGCGTGTATGGTCGGTTTTGGTTTTCGAGTGATTCGTTTAACCAAGTTTGACTTTTATGTATTTGACCTGAGATCGGAGTTTTTATGGTTCTGTTAGGTTCGTATGGTGATTTTGGACTTGGGCGTATGCCCGGATTTGCATTTGGATGCTTCTAGAAGATTGTGGCACTATTTGGCGAAAGTTGTCAATTTGAAGGTTTGAAAAGTTCAGGTTTGACTAGGAATTGAATTTGATGTTATGAGGTTCAAATTATTATTTCGGGAGTTGCAATAGGTTCATTATATCAGTTGGGACTTGTGCAAAATTTGAGGTGATTTCGAGCTGCTTAGACGTGTTCGGCGTAAGTTTGGAATTTGAAAATTTGAAATAGTTCATTAAGCTTAATTTGAGGTGCGATTCGTGGTTTTAATGTTACTTTGTGGATTTGAGGTATCGAGTAGGTCTGTGTTATGTTTTGGAACTTGTTGGTATGTTTGGACGGGGTCCCAACAGGTTCGGATGTGTTTCAGATTGATTTCACACCTTTTTGGAGTTTGCATGAGCTGCTGGTTTCTCTTATTTTTCTGATACCCCAGTTGAGCTTCGCGATCGCGGGAGCACAGACGCGATCGCGATGAGTATTTTGTCACTTGGGTTTGTTGTTTATCTGAGTTTGCGAGGTAGACATTGCGTTCGCGGACAAGGAAATCTGGGTGGGAGAGACTTGTACGGCGCGTTTGCGAATGTCTGGTGTTGCATGACGAGTGCAAAATCGGTGTATAAAACTTAGGCTCGCTAGTCAAAGATAGTATAATATTAAATCATCTCCACAGGAATTGGTTTAAATAATGTTCAAATAAATCTTCCGCTTAACACTATTAAAGAAAATAAACTTTTGATTTTGAGTTATCAACGAACTAAGAGTAAAAATTAAGATTATCAATTACGAACGAGTAATGAAAATTGAATAGCTAAGTAGCAACAACTGAATATCAATGAGAGAATTAAAGGCATGTGCAACTATTATTTGGGAAATAACTCTATTCTAAGTTCAAACTCTTAAGTTCTAAACGACCGGAAGTACTACTTTTCTCACTTTACGGAAAGATGCTGTGAGTTCTAACTATGTCTTTATTTAATTTTAGATGTGGATCAGAATTGTTGTTGAGTTCAGCCGTGCGGTTAATCCTGTGCAAGTGCACCATCAAAAGGAGAGCTCTCATTCTGCACTAATGACTTGAAAGGTTATGTTTGTCTTGTAAAGCTTCGAGCACATCACATGAAAACATTGAGCCCAAAATCTGCCCACCCAATTTTCAAACTCATACAACAATGCATAAACATAGCCACCCTCAAGCAAGTGCATGCTCAAATGATCACAACTGGGCTTATTCTCCACACTTACCCTCTCAGTCGCATACTCATTTCGTCCTCCACCCTAGCCGCCACCAACTCCTATGCGCTAAGCATTTTCAACCAAGTAAGCAATCCAACTATTTTCCTTTTCAACACCCTCATCTCATCATCCCTTGCTAGGAAAGATGATCAAGTTCACTTTTCCTTAGCTCTTTACTCTCGTATTCTCATTCAAACCACTCTCAAGCCCAATAATTACACCTACCCGTCTCTTTTTAAGGCTTGTAGTTCTCAACCATGGCTTCAACATGGCCGTGCCTTGCACACCCATGTCTTGAAATTCCTCGAACCACCTTATGATCGTTTTGTTCAAGCCTCGCTGCTTAATTTCTACTCCAGGAGTGGTGAATTGGGGGTTTCAAGATTCCTCTTTGATCAAATCACAAGACCGGATTTAGCTTCTTGGAACTCCATACTTACAGCTTATGCCCATAATACTTCTGTTCAATATGAAGGCAGTTTTAGTAATGCTTATGATAGCACTAATTTGTCATTGGAAGTTTTGATTTTGTTTAATCAAATGCAGAAATCTTTGACTAGTCCTAATGAGGTTAGTTTGGTGGCGTTAATTAGTGCTTGTGCTGATTTGGGTGCGCTTAGTCCGGGGATATGGGCTCATTCTTTTGTGCTTAGGAATGGCCTCAAGCTCAACCGCTTCGTTGGCACAGCTTTAATCGCCATGTATGCAAATTGTGGCTGTCTTGATATTGCTCGACAGTTGTTCGATCAATTGCTCGAAAGAGACACATATTGTTATAATGCCATGATTAGAGGACTTGCAGTGCACGGCCTTGGGCTGGAGGCTCTTGACCTTTTCGAGAAAATGGAATTAGAAGGTTTGGTTCCTGATGATGTAACTATGCTAGTTATAATATGTGCTTGCTCTCATGTGGGGTTGGTTGATCAAGGCTGCGAATTTTTTGAGTCAATGAAGGAGGATTATGGAATTGAGCCTAAGCTTGAGCACTATGGGACCTTAGTGGATCTTTTGGGTCGAGCAGGCCGGGTGAAGGAGGCTGAGGAAATAGTTCAGACCATTCCTATGAAGCCAAATGCAGTTCTTTGGAGGTCTTTACTAGGAGCTGCTCGTGTTCATGGTAACTTAGAGGTAGGTAAATCAGCATTGAAACAGTTGATACAGCTAGAGCCAGAGACTAGCGGGAATTATGTGTTGTTATCGAATATGTACGCTAGCTTGAACAGGTGGGATGATGCGAAAAATGTAAGGAAGTTGATGAAACAACATGGGATCGACAAAGCTCCTGGTAGTAGCATTGTCGATATTGGTGGTGCTATGCACGAGTTCCTTATTGGCGATAAGACTCATCCACACGCTAAATGGATATATCTGAAGCTGGACGAAATGAATAGAAGGCTGCAAGAACACGGTCATAAGTCAGGAACAAGAGAAGTGTTGTTTGACATTGAAGAGGAAGAGAAGGAAGATGCACTTTCATACCATAGTGAAAGGTTAGCCATTGCTTATGCTCTTATTGCATCTGATTCTGGTTCCCCTATTAGAATTATAAAGAACCTAAGGGTTTGCAGTGACTGCCATGCAGCTACTAAGCTTATTTCAAGGATTTATGAGAGGGAAATTATAGTAAGAGATAGATCTAGGTTTCATCACTTCAGAAATGAGGCTTGTTCTTGTATGGATTACTGGTAGAACTTTCTTTTACTTGGTGTTACATTTGAAACAACATATAGTTTAAGGCGGATCTATGATTTCTAATACATGAGTGCACTACTAAAAAAAGGGAGGAAAAATTATATTAAATGGAATTGATCCCTCCCTATTCCTCTTAGTAAATAACTCAATCTTCAACGAAGTGCATCATTCAAACTTCTTGAAACATGGGTGCGAACAGTTAATATTATACCAATTTTAAAAAATATGTACATAAAATATCTAATTTTGTGGAGAGACTGCGGGTTCGTGCCCCATCATCTCCCTATAAATTCGGCCCTAGTTTACTTAGTCAGACATCCTGCCTCCTTTATTTTAAAAAAAGAAAAAGAAAACGTAAACTAATGTTACATTTCCTTGTGATCTTGCTTTTGGTGAAAGATGTATGTATAAAAATAGAGCTACTGTATTATATTTGTCTCTATCTTTTAGTATTGTTGAATTATAGCAAGTTGATTAATCATGGAGAAATGATAAGTCTTACATGCACTCAAAAAAATGCTTTATGGACTCCAATTACATATTCACTGCGTCTAAAAGTACTTTAATTTACTCTCCGAAACACTATGAATTGTGAAAAAAATCCAATTAAGAAGAATTACAAACCTGAAATCCACATCTGCTGTAGATTTGAGTCCTTTTAATGAGTGATTAAATTTACTACCAAAAAAATATATATAAATGTATGTAATAATATCCTGCTAACATGATAACTCTCATTAATCCTACACTGTACAATGAGGGTAGGTCTATTTTGGTCTCTCAAATATAGCCCTGAGTATATTTAGTCCCTTAAGTATGCTAGAGTGGAGCACCTTTAGTCTCACTGACACAATGTGTTCAAAAACTAACGGTGTTACCCAACTCTGATTCATGAAGCAAATCTTCTGCTCTGAAACAAAACGTTTCCTCTCCTTTTATTGGATAACGCAAATTATCACTTTAATTCCTCATTTTTAGATAATGTCTTCTAAAATTTTGACCTTGAAAATATCCCCTTTTGTGCCAGTTTTCGATGAGAAAATGACACTGTATAGCTGCTGTAAAAA